CCTCGAATGTTCCTCCATAGATGGACTCTCCACCAGTGCCATTGCCTACAAGCAGTTTGTCAGGAAGATTTTATCCACAAGAAAAAATTCACGATCTGATGAGTAGCTCTATTCCTGCTAATATGTACTACTATATATATATATATATATATATATATATATATTAGAAGCCTCCTTTGCTATAGCACCCAGTTTGTATTTAAACATTTGTATATGCATTAGCCACTTTTTAACAGTAACACCACAGCAATAATAAGGCTGTTAAATTTCCTTTTTGTTGTATATTAATTAAACCAATAAGCTAGGTACAAAGAGATTTTTTACACTAGTTATAATTAATAGTAAAGTCAATGCTATCGATGTCAAATGTACCTGCAGAAAAGTCACCGCCTTGGATCATGAAATCTGTCACAACTCTGTGGATCAGAGAACCTTTGTAATGCAAGGCTTTCTTTGTTTTCACTCCAATACCTTTCTCACCTGTGACATACGAATACAGCCAATATATACATTCATACCATAAACCACATCTTACAAACAATAGGATAGCAATAAAAATTCATGCACACTTGATATTCAGTCAATTCAAAATGAGAAAAGCCTTCACAAACGCCGTATACACAACCTGATGAAATATGCAAGAGCACTGAATTTTACATAAAGTTGCTCATTTCATGTTTTGAGAATTATACAAATTCATACCTGTACATAATGCTCGGAAGTTTTCGCACGTCTTGGGAACAATGTCAGAGAACAGCTCAACTATGATTCTACCAGCTGAAGCAAATAGTATTTTGAAATGTTATTATTTCTCTACCCAAAGACTAGCATACTTATTGTATGTCAGACTATATATGTACTGATGCCATGGTTGAAAGTGGCTTAGCACTAACAGTAATTAACAACTCTGAATTAATCTACTTCGTACACTAAACCCTTATTGCTGCTTGACATGATTGAAACTCCACTTAAAACGATCATTGCGAGAATTTTGCTCAGAAAAACTAAATATAGCTGAATATAGTCTCACCTGACAGCGAAAATATCACTGATTACACCAACATTCAAAACACCAATATTTTATGCAGTTATAGCATAGAAAAATTTATTTGACCACATCATACCAGCAATACGTTTTTTCGAGTCAAGACTTTCAAAAATCACAAATGGCGTCTCAAACAAGCGAACATAATTAAAACAAAGGGGCATCTATTTGTGTGTGATAAGTATTCTCGCCGGCGGTACGCAACGAGGATTTGATCCACTTCTCTCTCCGTCTTCGTTATAGTCCCTAGGACTTTTGAAGACTAATATTTATGAGGTTACAACTTACACTCTTGTTTGTGTTACGCTACTATGCACCTCTGTGTTTACATCTGACCAAAAATATCTCCGGTGCGATTTTTGCATTACTGTACCCTTGTTGACGTCTCGCGGTACCGCGAGAAAGTGCGAGACATGACAGCGAAAATCAGCGAAGAGAACGCAAAATTGTAATCGTGCATGATTTTGTCTTTGCATGCGGTTCTAAGACATTTTATTGTTATTTCAAACAATTACTGTTACTCAAGCAACAACGGTAGGCATCATGAGCGTGAGAATAAACACTAAAAAACGCTGAAAACAACTCGCAATGATCACTTTAAAATAAATGTGACTGCAGACTACAGCTGCAGGCAAGTCACCGTCGTACACCATACCTGAAAACCCTCCTATGTCAATATCAAAGAAGCATCTTGGACGATACTTCGATGGATCAGCCATGGCCACACTGGAGGTATGGAATCACAACTTAGCAATCCGATTATAATTATGCTGCAAAAGAATTAACAAAGAAAAACACTTTGGCAACATGCTGATGCATTTTTAATATTCACAAACTTTTAAAAATTATGCTTTTTTAATAAGATCTTTTTTGGCTGAAGATTTAGATAGTAGTACTGAACAGTAACTAGTATACTAAATACGGGCTATTGATAATGTAGTCATACTACTATAGTGTATAGTGTATTATATCACGCACATAACCTAGCTAATACATTACACCACTTGATGACCTCGCACAAGCATGATTTCCTGCAGAAGATGCATGGCTTTAATGTAAGAGTAAAATAGTGGGGTAAAATCAATTGTATTTCAACGCAACAACTTCACACATATGAACAAACTGAATAGAATATTCCACCATCATGCTGTCGAATGTGATTTTAAGGGATGCGATGCACACTGCCAGCCACTAACACGTAAAAGCAATGGCCGAAGTCTCCCTCTATTTTACTTTACCATTCAAGCCCTGTAACTTGTGCAGGAAATGTGAGATGGCATAAGTGAAATGTGAGATTGCATAACTTATTAGGTAGATTGTGTGCTAGCTCTAGGACTATAGCCCGCGTACAGTTGCCGCACCCCACAACTGTATGCGGGCTATTGTCCTAGACACAGGCACTTGAAGCGTTTCAATAAAATATAATGCTAAATAAATACAAAATCTAATACTAGTACTACAAAATTCTTAATGTTTCTACACTCTCTTTCACCTATTATTGCCGACAGTTTCCTGTAAATTCCGTGTAAATGCTCTATGCACACACACTACCGGCCGCCATTCCTGACGCTGCACAGTGACTGTTAATATATATAGCAGGTAGGAAAGCGCTCGACTCCAATCCGCTCGACGCTCGATGAATTTCACACGAATACAACACAAACATTCTACTCCATCTTTGTTTCAATTTCAACAGCAGTGTTCACTTGTTAGAAATACAGACTGTCTCTGTTCGTAACCGAGCTCTGTCACGCGAAATCACAAAAACACTGGCGAAATTCGAGCGTTCGCTAACGTTGCTCAGTCAATGTAAATGTCTGCCGGAATCAGGAATCACCTAATTGCGCTGAAAAATGCGAGATCTTTCGCGCAGGCTTCCGACGGCAAGGCCACGCGACCGCGGGAACGTCCACAACAGTATGCAAGCCGACGTGGCAGCTATGCGAGTCCCGTGCGCCATGATAGATCGGCGGCGCGCACGGATCCGTAGCTGCCATTCGAACAGTCCGCAATTTTAGTTGGGACACAGGAGATAGACATTTGGGACGGGACACAGTGTTGACTTGTATAAAAACTGTAACGCAGTAAATCTGTTCGTAACCGAGCTGTGTGACTGCGAAATCAGAGAAACTTCGACGGTGGGGGGACTGCGACTTCTGACATTCGGCGAACCAGTGCCAGTATGCAACGGCTGTCAGGAATCACGAAAGCACCTGAACCGGGCGCTCTCTCTTCGCGCCCCCACGCAGGATGCAAAGACGTTTTGTGCAACGT